TTAAAGATGGACAAAACACCTATTTTACTGTTGTATTCTTAGAGTGAGTACAAATCTGTGCCAGTATTAAGCTCATCAAGGAAAAAGACCTTTTAACATAAAAGAAACGTAGTAAAATGTTCTATTTTCCATGATTATGTACTGTTGACACTACAAAGTTGTTTGAAGGGCTACCATAACATAAACATGTAGTATGCTGTTAGAGGTTATCAGTCACCTTGGGGAAATAGAGTGACTGTGATTGTGAAATGAAATGAGGGAACAAAGGATCTCAACTTCCAGTTTTGTTTTGTCTTTCATCCTGAAAATAAAATGTATCTTATTTGTTCCGGTGTACATTTCATGGTGTTTTTTAATAGATATAACTTATCACTAAAGGGTTGGGATTTGAGAGATCTTTTGCATCTACCAAGTTGGTAGTATATGTTCTATTGTATATCAGTTCCAGTTTGGGCCAAATAGGAATTATCTTTGACACTCAGAAATAGGATCATAAACAGTAGCGGTTTCTACTATAAATTGAATTTATGCTATCTTTTACCAACTGATGGAATTCCAAATTTGATGTTTTGATTTAAGTTGCAGGCTGATTTGGTGGTTACCAGCACGTGACTTTTGATAGACATTTATTTTTTGAGACACTTACTTCTCACTGAAAGGCTCATCAAGGGTCACTTTTGTAGATACTTTGGATGTGCAAGTATGTTACCTTATGTGAAAACATTGATTTGTAACAGAAGAGAAAAATAGAGTAAATTATTAACTTTGCTTAGGAAGACCTAAACAGCAACATCAAAACCCTTAGTATATAGATGGAAGCTCTGTAACATCAGTCTGAGATTACAACTTCTAATTGCTCTCACGTAATGATAGTGTGCATGCTGACAAATGCCATAGTCATTGGAGGAGCAGGAAAGGGAAGATATTGCTAAAAATCCTAAAGTGGTTTCTTTTTTTTAACTTGTATTACTATATATATAGTTTTTAGCTCTCATAAAGATGATGAGTTTAATCAGTTGTAACGCAATGATCGATTTTTCTGCTCTATGCAAAATTAAAAATATTCGTTCTCCAGAGAGGTTTTGATAGTATCCTCTTGGTTTAGAGCTGGCTATGTTAATGTCGTCAGTGAGCGCTTCTCGGGCACTACCTATAGTAATATTGCAAAACAGAAACATAATTAGTTTTCATATTTTAATACTATAATTTGCTTCAGGCTGTTAAACTAATTTAATATACAACCATAGCACCACTTTATATGTGATTATAGAGAAGATCTTTTTGCAGCTTAAGATGACAAAATTTTTTATTTTTCCTCAAATTCTATGTCAATAATGTATTTTCAGTCATTGCTAACACACAAGTTTTTGTGTGCTGAAGTATGCTATATTGCAGTGTATCTTGTAATGGAAAGGATTTTTATTGAAATCTGTTTGTTTTTTTTTTTTAAATTTTTTTTTAATAAGTATTGTTGGTTGTCATGGGTTATGTACTCAGCTGAAGGATAAAGGTCAGTGACTGCAGCAAACTGCTTATTAGAGGCTTCAAGTTCTTAACATTTGTGCGGTGCTTTTAGTTCCCCTGTAGTGGTTGTTGTTAGGAAATGCTCCACAGAAGTATTTAAAGGTCTTGTCGGGTTTGGGACTGCATTTTGCTTCGTTAATGTTAACTTGAAGTTGTGGGCAGATCTGGTCTTTAAACATGATGTGCTTGTGCTTTGAAAGAAGCACTTGTGTTCATCCGATCGGAATCGGGCATGGTTTGTGGCAGCATGGCTGGTTAGTTCTCTGAACTCCATCCTAACATGTAGCTCCTACCCTTTCTTTCTCTGTGACCATGAATATTTTCTAATAATATTTGTACATGGGTCTACCAATGGGAGTTGTAAGTACTTTTGCCATTTTATGCTAAAGGATGAATTGACAGAACTACACCATTTCTACATTTTTAATGAATGGTTACACTGCCAATGTGTTTTGTGCAATAGAGGACTGAGTTCCCACAGTAGAACAGGAAAAGTAGTTACAGGATTAGGAGAGGGATCTGTATGAAATTAGGCTGAGTAGACATGAATTCTTTACTTAATAAAATTGCCATGCAACTGGAGTACCGCTTCTGTGAGATTGTGTTGGCAGAAATGTGTGTGTGTATATAGATATACATGTATCGATGAGGGACCTAAATACAAAAGCTGATTTCTACCTTTCACCTCATCAGTCTAGGCCCTGTGAAGGTACAAAACCTCAGGTCACTGTTACTTTCGAAAGGTTTTAAAATGTATTTATAAGTGCTGCATGAACTTTGCTGTATTTACTTCTGTAGCTGATTGCAAACTGATCTATCGGCCTATGAAAAAGGAGCTGCAGACTTTGTGTATGAGGCTTCCTGGTGGCTTCTTGTCCTAAGAAATAAGCAACAAATTTCCATCTGCAGATCTGCTCGCGTTTGGCACAGCCCCAGTTATTCTCACGCCTTCTTACAAATAGTACTGCGACAGTGTTTTTTTTCAGTATCTGTGCATATGCTTGTAGCATGACTGACTAATGAATATGTTAGTGAATAGTGGAGTAAGTTAATGTGGATAGGAAGATGCCTACTGATATCTTGGCAACGATCGGATACTGTCATTGTGTAAACCTGCTGTAATATTACAAAAGTCTGCATGGGGATAGGTGCTCTGATTCAGAAATTTGCAGGCTGTTTGCTGTCATTCGTGACTACTGGGAAGCAGATAAATTGGCTGATGGAGTTAGCCTAAGAACAAGCAAGAAGTAAGCAGCCTGGCTACGGCAGCTGCAGCTTCAGTCTCTAATACCAGTTTCTGCCCTTTCAGTTACTGGTTCTTAGTGGCTGCCTCATTTTATCGTGCTGTTAGTTTTGTAACAGGGCTGGATAGTAGCGTGAATTGCAACACCGTGTTTCTCTGTTGTGATCTGTGCTGTGGTTCACCCTGAGAACAAGTGGCAGTTCTTTCTAGTGAAGTGAAATCCTGTTAGGGGTGCAGGCAGCTGCCAGAATGCCCTCCAGTGCCTGTACCGCTTCCTTCCCTCGGTGGGAGCGTGGACAGCTTGAGTACTGCACGCGACTGCTTCGCTTGGCAGCATTGAACGACACAGAATTGCTTACAAAAATGCTGCTGTGAAGAAGTGTCAGTCTCTGCAAAAAGTTTTTGAAGGTCTTCAGAGCAGTCGGGCACGGCGATGCAGCTGGGTTGCAGGTAGGGCTCCTCTGGCCTTACCCTCTTCCGCTGCAGCCTGCAATGCACTGCTCTGCTCTCTGGAGTTCATCAGCACAATCCTCTTGGGTATCGTGTAGAAATATGGGTTGCCAATACAAATATCAATATTTAATCTATCTAATTATTAAAAGTTTTCTTCATTTCTTTTTTAATAACCATGCTCTTGTAAGACTCCATATTAATATCAGTGCACTTCATCAGTCTTCAGGGCATAATCTTGATTAGTTTTTGGTCCACTGTCTTATACAATTATCAATATAGAAAATAATGGTTTAGACAATTTAAATTTCGTGGGGAGTGTTTAAAATATCTTTCAGCTTTTCAGTATATAGACTTCATATTTGGACATACTAGCTTTCCTGCAGCAGCTTTAAATATATATTTTGAGACTGAAACCTCTGATCTTACCCCACTGACTCAGAAATCTTTACAGTGTGTACGTAGCCAGTCGTGTGTAAACATTTGCGGAAATAAGATCAAAAGCTACAGGGTTAAAGACAGAATCATTTTTTCCCCTTACATAGTTCCTGTACTGTAGCTCAGGGTTAGGTGTTACATTAGTACAGTATGGTGTACGCTTCCGGGACTTGCTTTCTGTCACAATTAAATTTTGTTTTTCTGATGATGTCTCACAAGAGAAGGTTATGTGGCAAAAAAAAATCTTCTCTTATCCTGGATATTGTTTAAGGACCACCAAAAAATTCTTCAGGCCTTGCGAGAAACTGCCTTGTACCTTCTCAAGAGCAGAAGCTGGTTGAGACACTCAGCTTCTCCTCATTGCTCAGGATAGCTTCACCAAATCCTTTTTACAGCAGTTAAAGGCAACTGTTCATCTCTCCGCACTTTACTCAGGCAGAGCAAAGGACAAGATAATCCCCTTAGCCTGTTAAATGCTCCATCCCATCTGGTAGGTGATAATTGCATTGTGAGGGGATTAGCACAGTGGGATACGCTTGTAGTGTAATGAAAGCTTCACTACAAGTGTGAAAGTCAGCCGAATGCATTTGAGCAGTTTGGGACTTTACATGTGCACATTTTTGTAAATATCATAAAATACACGTTTCATCTGGAGAAGTTGTGCAGTATCTTTACATGCCTTAACGTGTGTAACAGATGATAAATATGTTTTGAGACATCAGTAGTCTAAATATCTGAATCCCTCCCATAGGACTAGTGGAATAAGCTTTTGTTTAGCTGAACATTTTAGGACAACTCTGTGATTATAGCTGTATTAAATGCATCCCAAGTGTTGTCTTTACTTTTACTCAAAACTTCTATGGCTTTGAAATCATGGGCTTAAGTTGTTACTGGTATAGGAGCACCCATGTTATTAAACACTGCCTAGAAATCTTCATCAGTAAAGGTGAAATTTGAATAAGCCACACTGTGAGGAATATCAGAGTAATTTTGTGTCAGTAGGGATAAGAGGATTTCAAGCTGAAAGTAACTCTCTCTGCAGCCAACCAGAATTGAAAATTTTGAAATTTCAGTTTCAAGCATGAGCGTAAAGTAGTGCAAAATGACACTTTGAAAAAAAATATTTTAAAAATTTTCCTGTGTGGTTTGTTTTTTTTTTTTTTAAGTTTAGCTAATGCTGTCAGTAGTGAAGATAGTAAATCTTAGGGCTCAGATCATTTCATAAGCTAACTGTAACTTAGCTTCCTTACCTTTCAAGATGTCAAAGATCCGTTTGAAGGTATGTTTTGTAGGGCAGTAGCTCAGGGTTGATCGCTATCCTTTTGGCTGTCTCCAGTCTCCCCGTATGGTACAAGAAACTGGGCAAGTTGTTCAGTGCTGACCAGTATGTGCCATTTAGCGGGTTTGAACATTAACCTGTTAGGTTAAAACAGGGCTTGGTTAGCCCACACTGCGCTGTGATAGTGTTTTGTAGCCAGATAGATAAGGAACTTAACAGAGGTGTATGTATTTTTACATAAATAAGAGAGGTGTATAAATGTGCACTGCATGCGGTAGATGCTTTAGCGATGTTGTATGACCTTGCTGTGGGATTAAATTTTCTAATGAGTTAAGGTTCTGTGACCAGCTGTGTGGTTGCTGTTTCTTCAGTTTCCAGTTCCTGACTTAGCAGCTCTGTCTGTGTGTATGTGCGCCTCTGGGAGTAAGGGCAAAATAAAATCTAGGGGGTTTTTATGGGCTGTCTGCAGTAACTTTGCTGGTCTGTCATGAGGTTGTTGAGTGTGGTTAAGCTCAACCTTCTCTTACTTAATCATGGCTCTGAGTGTGCAGGGTCGAGTAGAAAGCTGGTTTTCCAAAGTTGCAGTGATGAGACACGGAAGTGATATTTTTTTTTTCTTCCTTTTTTATTATTGTTGTTTCTTATAAGGTGGGTGAGCTCTAAAGAACGTTCCTTAATTTTCTTCTTTTAGATGGAAAGCGTTTACCTGAGGGGAGGAGAATTTGAGAAATTTGGTGTTTTGTTGTCTGACATTCTGTAATTTTAAATAAACCTCAGTGAAGGGTCATGAGACTCCAAAAAAAACCAACCAACAAATGAACACCCCTCCAAAAAATTAAGCATGTCCACTCTCCCCACCCCAGTCCTTTCTGAAATATAAGTTTCTGTCAGATGAAAATCCCACTTGGAAGAACCATTATGTTGGCAATATACAGAAAATATTTTTAAAGAGGAATTTTCAAATGTTTAGAAACAGGGTATTATTTTTTTTAACAATCCTTACAAATATTTAAAACATATACTATTACAAGTATGTAGCAAACCAAATCATATATGGTATGTAATTGTTTTTCTTCTTATTTAGGTGACAAACAGCATGTTTGGTGCTTCAAGGAAGAAGTTTGTAGAGGGGGTTGATGGTGACTACCATGATGAAAACATGTACTACAGCCAATCATCGATGTTCCCACATCGGTCAGAAAAAGATGTAAGTTGGATAAGCTTATTTTTTTCCCCTTTCAATAGTGAGATAGTTTCCAGTATGTGAAATATATGTGAGGAAGGGTTTCATTTAGCTTTAAGCTGTGAATGACAGTGTTTTCAGTGGCAAGTGCTTTAATTTTAGTGAGTTTATACATGTAAACTTCAGCCATATGCTTGCCAGGGTTTTATTTTTTTCATCTTTAAGAATTGTATTTGTAGCTTAAATTGGATTATTGGTTATATCTTGTGTTTACATGTTGTGTCTACAGTTTTTTTTTTTGTTGTGGTTTTGCATTTTACATCTTCAGCTGTTTTTCATTTCTGAAAATGCTTCGTGCAGCTTGTTTGTCTGCTCGAGTATTCTACTTCCTATTTGTAATGACACAAAGTTACAAAACCAACCATTCTTAAACATTTTTTTTCCCTTGATAATGCATTATTATATGTTAGACCTGCATTGACATTACTGAAGCTCTGCTTATTATTGAAATAAATAAATTAGGCAGTAAAGTGTTTCACTCTTACATGGAGTAGCATGTAGAAAGATGTGGAAGACTGAAAGCATGACTTGAGGTTCATGTCACCTGGAGGTCAGTAATACCGTCTCATGACAGGCTTGCATTTAGCACGTGTAAGCAACATATATGCTAGGTTTTCTTTTTAATTAAAAAAAAAAAAAATCCTTTGACTTTCAGAAAGGTATCATTGCTTTGAGTCTGCCTCCATGACTGTCCAGAAATATAGTTGTTTAATAGCAGGTGTGAACAGTCTTGATAGACTGCGACCTGTGTAAACATAAACATTTCCTATAGACTCTTAGTTAGTTGAATTTTAATCCAGATTTTCAAAGATAGAAGGACATAGCTTCAGAGTAGAAGGCTTTTTAAAACAGAAAAAAAACAAAACAAAAAAAGGCTTAAATGCAGCTTTCCAATTCAGTTTCATAAGTTATTTTGATGAGAAATTTCAGGTGAGCCAGCAAAGGATTAAAATGTACTACAGTGTAAAGAAAATTAAATAGGCTGCTCTTTTCTGTTTATGTCCATTACGTCTGTGCACGTACCACAGATGCACACAGGGACAATGGAATATTTATAATGTTGAACATACTTTCCTTCCTGTGAGCACTGGGGAGTGCAGCTAGCACTCAAAAACAGTAGACGCTATTTCTCCAAAGTGATTCCTAGGTACTAAATCCCCACTTTTAGTTTTGATGCACTGAGGGAGAGAAATCATTACGGTGTAGTAAGAAAGGTAAAGTGAGATGAAAGCTATGCTGTACAGTGTACACAGTGAAAGCTGATGCTTGGCATGTTGTTGACACAGTGAACGAGTGTTTTAGTTGCCTACTCTTTCTGTAGGCAATGTTGCAGAAGTGGATCTTAGAATGGGACTTCAAGAGAAGGAAGGTGGGTGTTCCAGACACCAGGAATGACAAATGAGAAATCGTGAAAGCTTGTGGGAGAAGTGGCCAAAATGGGGCATAGAAGCTGCTGTAGTTGGCAGAAGTGATCTCGTTCCGACAGGAAATGAAGAGTGATTTTTGCAAAAGCCTTGTAAAGTTTTATTTCCAAATTCTTGTTAAGGGATCTTTTTTCCCCCCCTGTAGCTTCATGATTGACGATTATAACTTTCTGAGTTTATGTTTATGAAATCTTAAACCATTATATGCTGTTGTAATATTTTTTTTGAAAGTTGATGAAAATAAATATATGGTGGTGATATTGATGTTGTCTGTATACCTTTGATCAGTCATGTATAGCTAAATGTATATTCTGTATTACATGTTCTTTTTGATGTCTCATTTGGCTCACATTAGATGAGAAAGATTGCAAAGGTGGTTTTATTCTTTTAGTTTCCACCCAATGTTGCAGCTTTGAAAACCTTTTCCAATTGAAAATAACTGTGTTTTCAAATAGTCTTTCAACTGGAATTCTACTAAAGATGTTGCTCTGTATGTAAGAAGACAATAAATATATTGACTGTGTTGGTATTCGGATAACACTTAGTATTGACAGACAAAAATAAACTTGCTCAGAATTTTCTCTGAGTAAGCTAATAAAGACTAACGTTCAAAACCTAGATCAAGTTTTATGGACACGTGCGGGGAAAATCTTCCAGCATTCTAGATCTTGAAACACTTTGAATCTTCCTGTCTTCACATTTATATTGAAATGGAGTAGGTAAATATGGGGAAAAAATAAAGGTAGAGGAAACTTTGGGGAAAGGAGTAAACCACCTTTATACTCAGAAAATCCAACTGGTAATAAAAAGACTAAAACATAGCATACACGATCTCTTTGTAAGTTTACTGAAAAACAGCAGTCTTTATGCTTTTTCTTGTAGTAGAATTGTCTAAACAAGGTGCAGTTTTACGGCAATTTGAATTATTGCTCTTTTTTTCATTTTCAGTTTCTTATATTAATTTTACCTGCTCTCTATGTGAAGACATATATGGCAGGTTTTAGCTACAAACCTGTAGAAAATCAGTTAAACATTATTTTTCTTTTTTCTGCAATGTATCATGTATACACATGAATCCTGAGTCCTTCATTTATGTTTAATTTATCCTCTAGAGTTCTTCAACCCAAAATAGAGTGGTTCTGAGGGAAGCCCTCTGTGAGTGGCTTCCTTAAATACTGCTCTATGGGAAGGGCTAAAGCTTGTTTAGTATTTACTCTCCCTCGTACTGAACATGACTAGGTGTTTTTCTGGTTTTCACTGATTCTAACCTTAAAAGTTGCTACTTTTCAAGGAATTGCTACTCTGTGTGTGTGTGTGTACTCCAAGCAGAGGAACATACAGAATGGTGAAAGCTTCCTAAAATTTAGAGTAGAGTAAGGACTAACTAATACTGCAAGCATATTATTTTGTATAAACTTAAGAACCTATTTTTCACTTTACTTTTACAGTAGGGTTTCTGTCCTCGTGAAGAGGCATTGTCTTCAAGTGGGGTACACTGATGACTTGCGCACAGTTTGACTGGGTTGGGAGCTTTTCAACTTTCTACCTTGTTTTAATGCCTAAGGTGGAGGTTTCGCTCATTAAGTGAAAAAAAAAAAATTAGAACCTATCTGAAAGAGAATTGAAAAAAAAATTTTATGCCTTTTAATAAACAATTTTCATAGGACTTACTGATGTGGTATTCTTGTGACTTGTTGCTTTGGCTAATATGAATTTTAAAAGAATTTCCTTTACACAAAGGTAAAGTGAACTAAGGCTGCTCAAGTCCTGTCTTAAATTTTGAATACTTTTTACAAGTAGGAAGTAGCAGCAGCAAATAGTTTAGGACATGTTATTTTTATTTCAGAGCCTCAGTGTAGCTAAAAACTAAAAGCTTTCTTTTAACTTACCTGCTTTTTCACTAGGGAATACATTTCTAGACAGTCAGGATTGATACGGTAATTGAAATGGCAAAGTTGCATGTTACTCATGTGCACAAGTGCTTCCACAATCCTACAGATGCTGTTTGGGTCTATTGTTTTAGGCACAAAATTATGGTTCCTTAGATGAGATTAGATCTCACTCAAGCCACCTAATGTTTCCTTTTTACTGAATGAGTGGCTTTGCCTTGAGTCATCACAAACCTTGCTGTGCTAAGTAGGGAAGTTGAACAGAGTATATCCATGAATGCTCTGTCTATGAATTCTGCTGCACTTAAGGTCAGTGTGTCATAACCTGGTCAATAATCCTTTCACAAAGAAATTAGGTATTTTATAGAACTTGCAGAAATTAGAACAGTTAAGATTTGGCTTGAAACAAGTGTGGTCCTGTAATTTAAATTGACAACAAGATGCACAATGTGCCCACAAAATAATTACAGAGCTTATTTGTGGCCAATTTCACCAACTTAATAGAGCTGTCTATGTACTTAGCAAAATCATTTTGAGGACAAGGGTACATGTATTTTTATTTTGATAGAGTGACAATGGTAGAAGTTGGTAACTCAAAGCCTTCGTATACTTTTGAATCTACTGTCTTCAAATGAGAAAAACAAAACAAAAACAAACTAAAATGAGCATTGAGAAAAGATGGGACCTGTTCAGTCTGAACTACTTTGATTTCTCATGTGTAAGAATGTAAGAAGTTCTCTACAAGGTTTGACCAGTCTAGCCCAATCCACTGAAGATGCCTACGTGAGAATATAAGATCAGGGCATCTTCTGTTGTTCTGAACTGCAGTGATAAATCTGACAGTAGACAGACATGCCTTTTAATGAAGATCTGTCCAAATTATGAGGAAAGTTAATATAATTTTTTCAATGAAAGTTTTTTCCATTTCTTGGCCCAGTGCTTTGCTTTTCATTTTCTCTCCCAGTTGCTGAACAGATGATAAAATGCTCACAGTAACAATAGTAATAATTCTCTGATTTGCACTTCTAATGGGTTAGTTTGCCGAGTTTCTTGTCCTCTCTGAAAAAATCTTAATGTTTTAACTAATTCTGGACTTTCTCAGTTCTTTTGCAGCTCAGTTCTTTCGCAGCTCAGTTCTTTCAAAACATGGCTTCTTGTGAAGTCAAAAACATTTGAGCAATTGAGGCAAGTAAGATCCAGCCTGCAGATTAGATTTGGCTCATTGCAACTATTAATCTAGCTCCTTGGCACTACCTTTCCTGAAGTAGGAGGTCCTCAGATTTGGATATTGAGCACAGTGAAACGCGTTATTGATTCTGGGAGCCTGCTTTCCAGAGGTTTCTTCCATCCTGATGTAGTAGAAGCATGCCTGTGATGGATCAAACTCAGGTGTTTCTCTGTCAGGAGACAGTTGCATGAAGGCAGAGGTCAGTGGGTTTGTCTTGTAAAGTGCACGATGGTGGTGATACAACAAAGGGATGGTCAGAAGCTATTACCAAAGCCTTTTCCTGCAAACTTCCATTAAAGTAATTTGTAGAACCTTTACCTAACTCTTACTCTGTTTTAAAATATATGGCCTTACAAAGAGGTGGTACTTTTGTACAAGAGATAAAACCCTGAAACAAGACTTAGCTTACCACGGAGATAGGAA